GCGCGCGCGCGCGCACACACCAAGCACCAGTTTTCTTGGACGGGGTCTCAGGGGAGACTGGTGTGTAAGGAAAAAGCCCTAACTCACCACGATCACGTTGATCCCTTCTCACAGCATCCCTGATGGGCAGACCACTGCCCCTTTGGGTTTGTGAGGCTCTAACACTTTACAGGAGAAGACAGCTTTACATTTTTCAACAGAGCGACTGGTGGGTTCGAACCGCTGACCTTGCAGTTAGCAGCTCAATGTGTAGCCCACGATGCCATCAGGGCTTCTTTGTATTTGAGGAAGATGAGCATTAATTCCAATTATTGTCCAGTTTGCCTGGCACCTTCGGGGCCTACCACCTCCTTAGGAAATACCAACTCCCTGTGAATTTTAAAACAAAGCAGCCGCCATGTGTTCTCTCTGGCTGATGGAGAAGACTGCTCATGTAGCTTAGGGATTTGCTGCCGGCTGGACAGTGAGTAAGAAGAAGGTATAAGGAGAGACCTGGCTTCTCATGGCTTTTAAAGACTCAAAGCCCAAGAGATGGGCTCTGATTAGAAAGCAAAGAGAAGAATCGTGCTTTTGCTGCATCCAAAATGTCCCCAAGCCTCTGTCCTTGTAGCGAGACTGTCACATGGACCCGAGCAGTCCCTGTTGGTTGGCATGTCTGTGCAGAGAGGCTACAGAGCTGGGTAGAACTGTGGACTTTCAGGTCTGAGAGGGTAAAGCTGGGCAGCTGTGAAGGACAAGCCTAATGAAGACAAAATCCAGGCTTGGTTTGCTATTGTACAAGACCGAGTATTTAAACACTGTGCATATATGGTGCAAATGGTTTTAACTCTGCTCAGCTGCACAGGTGCTTTGGAGGAAAGACCTGGCAATCTACTCCCCCCACCCCACCCCAAAATTCATTCATTGAAAACCCAACAAAGCACAATTCTACTCGGATACTCATGGGGTCTCTGTGAATCAGAGTGGGCTGAGTGGGAACTGCTTGGTATATGTAGCTGGAGACCAGAAGGCCACAATGAAAGGAGATGAAAAGGCTTTGCTTCAGTAGAGGTCTGGGACCCTTTCTTAATTAAAAAGTTAACTTTTTTTTTTTTTTTTT